AAATCAGAAAAAATAAGCTAATCAGCAGTAATAGAGGTGAGAAGTTGGCACAGAGGAACTTAATATGGTTGTGGTGGTGGTATTTCCTTGTCTCTAACTCCTAAATCTTTAAGAACAAGGTGGAAAGAAAGGACAGGAATGCTTAGTCAATGGACATGAAAATTTGATATGATGAATTGGGACTAGAAAACAGAAGGCCAGATGCCAAGATTTCAATTCCCTCCCCTATCCCCATCCCCTTTTACAAAGTGAACTCTGAAAACAGAATTAAACATGGAGAAAATAAAAATCTTGCCAGTGACAGTGACTGGGGCTTTATCTGAGAACATAATAGGAATGGAACCTTATTTTTAATCAAAGTCTTTACTGCTGAGAAAATTGTTTCGTCAGCTAAATTCAGGCAGGGCAAGCAAAACAGTGCCTGAGACTGTTCCTTTTTTCTAGTTCTTTTGAGTCCTCTGAAAAATTCAATGAACTGTTTGATTCATAGTCTTGGCCATTTCTCTGTGAAGTCCTTGAATATTCTTGACTGTTTCTGTTGCCCAAAAAGAGGCATATTGCATTAGTGGTAGAGAATTAATGGTATTGGAGGATAAGGGTAGTTTTTTTTAAAAGCAATTTTTAGAGGGAAACTTATCACTCTAGACTTTTAAAAGAAACCTGCTTATCTCACATATTCTCAAAAAAAGAATTAGAAAGACAGCTCATATTTTGCTTTTGGTCAAATTTTGTAGAGTTTTAAATATTGTCATATCATGTATCTTGGAGCTGCAGCTCCCGGAATAGAATGAGATGATGCATCCCTTTTCTCTTGAGAGACATTGAGAATAATTAAAAGAAAAAAAACTGAAGGCACATCAGGGTATCTTTTGATTATTTCTGTGTATGAACAATGGTTCACACTCAGAATTCAGGCTTAGCCTTGGTTTTGACAGGTGTCACTTTTCTTCCAAGTACTCTTGGTACTTTGTACTTGCAAACTTCACTAAATAATAGTAACTGATAATCATTTTAAACTTAAAAATTTTCCAAAACACTTTAAATCTATATAATAATAAGAGCTAGCATTTACATAGCCCTTAAAGTTTCAAAATAATTTACAAATATTATCCCATCTGGTCCTCAAAACCTGGGAGGTAGGTATTGCTATTATCCCCACTTTACAGATAACAAAACTGAGGCAGACAGTGGTTAAGTGACTTGTCCAGGATTACACAGCTGGTAAATATCTGAGGCAGGATTTAACATCCTGATTTTAGGTCCTGCAGCAGCCTATGCACTACCTAGATGCTAGCAAATGATTTAAACCTTCCAAAACAGGTGGTTTTGTCCTATTTTTAAACATCTATAGATAAAGATGTTAAAATCTCTCTCCTTTAGTAGTTCGTTTTAGTGTTTAATTACATTTTAGTTTTTTTTAACCAAACTTTCTGTCTTGCTTTCTGTCTTAATACTATTGCTCCTACTACTAATACTAATACCTTACATTTGTATAGGTGTCCATAAGAATGCTTCTTAAAATATTGCTTGAATGCAAGATATCTTTGTTAATACACTGTACCAACTATACCAAACATATGTCTTTCTAATGCCCTTTGGATTCACCTGAAAGTTTAATTCTTCTGAGACTGTAGTATTCCAAAATTTGTAGCCACAGAATATTGCTAGAAAATTATTGAATTTAAAATGATAGACTCTAGAGGCAGAAGGTATTTTGGAATCCTTGAAAGAACCAGGCAGTTTCCAAAATGTGACCAGTTTGCTTGCTTTCTCTTATTTAATTTTTTTGACCCAGCTCATTGTCCATTTACAGTGCCTGCCCAAAATACATGTACTAATGACCTCATTTGATGTATTGGGCTATATCCAGCTGCATTTCATAGTTTGCCTAATTAGGTATTTTTCAAATGAACTTTTTCCCAAGTAGATTCCTAGGTCAGCCTTTCTGAGTGGTCTTAGTCTCACTTAAGAAGCCCTGAATTATTCTGGGACTCAATGCAATCAGTGCAATGTCATCTGCAAACATGAGTATCAGTAGACTCTTATCATCTATAGGTAATTCTTCCATTTGAACTTCAAGCAAGCTATTCTCCATAATAGTGAAGAAACATTTTTAGTATCTCGCTGTTTTATGCTTGGCTTGATATTGATAAAGAATCATTAACTAACATTACCTCTATGGTTATAAATTATCAAAGATAAAATAGGTATAAGTGTCAGTTGTTACCAATGACTCTTGATACTCTCTGTTACCTTTTCTGTTTAGGGAGGATATTCCCTCTTTGAGATATCTTGAAAAGTGGTCACTGAGTGCCTTTAAAAGGAAAGAGAGAGTATAATTTTAGGATTATGGGGACATAAATTTTGAGCTAGAAGGGACCTTAAAGAACTCATAGTACAGTCCTTTCATTTTTATAGATGTGGAAACTGAGACTGAGAGAGATTAGATGGTTTGCCCAAAGTAAGACAGGGAGTGACAGAGGCAGAATATGAGCTGTAGCTCCCTTGACTCCAAAACCAATACTCTTTCCATAACATTATGATGTCTCTAATCCTGTTGGTGGGTGACCTGCTGCAAGTTCTTTTGCATGAGTCTAATTCTGAGCCTTAAGGAAGAATATATTTACAGGTATTTTGTTATCCATTTTAATTTTTTCTTTTTTTTGATGGTCTTTAAAAAAATATTTTCAGTCCCAAATTCTTTCTCTCTCTCCCTTTATCCCCTCCCCACTCATGGAAAAGGCAAGAAATATGATGTTCATTATACATATGCAGTCATGCAAAACATATATCCACATTAGCCTTCTTGCAAAAAGAAAAAAAGCAAGAAAAATAAAGAGAAAAATATGCTTCAATCTACACTCAAAATCCATCTGTTATCCATCTGGAGATAGATAACATTTTTTATGTTGAGTTCTTTGGAATTGTTGTGTATCATCGTATTGATCATAATTACTAAGTTTTTCACAGTTATTTATCTTTACAATATTGCTATTACTGTGTATACTGTTCTCCAGGTTCTGCTTACTTCATTTTGCATCAGTTCATATAAATCTTCTGAGGTATTTTTTGAAACCATCCCTTTCATCATGTCTTACAGCACAATAATATTCAATCACAATCATATACATAGCTTGTTCAGCCGTTCCCTAATTAATGGGCATTACTCCAGTTTCTAATTATTTGCCACCACAAAAAGAGCGTTTGCTATTCATTTTATAATGTAGGGTATTTGAAGAAGGTAGGTGAAGCAATGGATAGAGAGTTGGATTTGGAATCAACAATCCCTGAGTTCAGACCTTGCCTTAGACACTAGCTGTATGACCCTAGGCAAGCCAACATAATCTCTCTTAGCTTCAGTTTCCTCTTCTAGAAAAAGAAGATAATAATGGCAACTGTCTCTTTGGGTTGTTGTGAAGATCAAGTAAGAAAACATGTGAGGCTTTTTGTAAACTTTAAAGTGCTTAATAAAAGCTCACCTAGTCGAGTACCTCACTTAGGCACTGCTTAGCAGGCCACAAGGTCTGGTGACCTTTTCCATTTGCTGTCCTTTACCTCCCATTGTGGTTTGCCCAGATCTCAGCTCTGGAGAGACCTGGCTTCTCAATAAGGGAATAGACTCCCCAGTTCTCACATTCTTTGGCTCATAACCCCTCAATCCTGGCTACTTTGGGTACAATTCTATCTTTGGTTCTAGTCTAGGGTTTCCCCAAATTGGAAGAGAGGACAGAGTAAAATAGGTACTAATACATCATATAAATCAGGGCTAGGACAGGTCATTTTATTCTCACACAGAAAGCAATTGTAAGCATGAGACTCATAGCTTACATTAACAGAACAATTTAAACAGGATTCAGAAATTTAATTTGTAGCCAGATTAAAATCTGCTGGAAGTTGGTAGTAGGCTTCATCAAGACAATGCAGTTTGGCATTTCTGCTAATTAGCTATTTCACATTTCATCCCTACTGAGCACAGTTTGATCAATTACCAAGCATAATCCAAGAGTGATCTTTTCTGTGGCTACTTTCTCTTCGACTCTGACTCTTCCCTTGGCATCAGTTTGCAACTGGTTACTCCAGTAGACACTGCAGTGACTACTTCTCTGGCCTCCTAGGACCTCCTGACCTCCTGAAACTCACAAGTTCACCTGGACTTGTCCCAAGGAGCTAGGTGGCATAGTGAATGGAGTTCTGGGCCTGGTGTCAGGAAGACCTGAGTTCAGATTTCAGTCTCAGACACTTACTAGCTACGTTATACTGGGCAAGTCACTTAGTCTTTATCTGTCTCAGTTTCCTCAACTATAAAATGGGGATAATAATAGCACTTACCTCTCAGGGTTGTTGCACTCACCTAACGAGATAGTATTTGTAGAGCGCTTAATGTAGTGCCTGGCACACTTAATAATTGCTTGTTCTCTTCCCTCTCTTTCCCCTTCCTATATCAAGGTTGTGACTCAGTCACCTGCTTTGGGAAGGAAACACAAGAAGAGAGAGGCAGCCTCGCCTTAGGCAGAGATTTGCCTAGATAAGACATGGTCCTGGCTGTGCGGACACAGTTAGGGAATGAGGCTTCTGCCATATTCTCAACCCACTCTACTGGATGCAGCTCCAAATAGACTTCATACTTCAAAGTCAGAAAGAAAGAGGAACCCTGAGGGGACAGATCATGCCTTTGGTATATTCATGGAATTTTGGCTCTGCAGATAACTAAAAGAGCTCTTTTCCTAACCCAGTACCAGCCCCTCAGTCAAACATGGTTGGAAATAGGTTTCCTAATTTCCATAGGTTGGATTGGAATCTACACATGCTCTGTGTGGCCCACCAGCAAGGGGAAGTCTGAGCATTCTTCCTCTACCACACTAGCTGTTTATTATTTTATTGTTGTTGTTATTTTCATTGTCATCATCGTTGTCATCGTCATCGTCATCATCATCATTATTTGCTTGACGTGAGGTGCTCTTGACCAATATGAATTAAAACAGCTTTCTTCTGTAAACCAGGAGCCACCAAGCAGAGGGGGCCCTCCACTTTCATAGGGGCAAAAGAAGCACTTCCTACCATATCAGAACTAGAACATTTTTTCTACAGTGAGTCGGAAAGATCAATATACACAGAGAGTGAGTATTCAGTTTTTTGTTGCCAAAGTAAGTGGGTAAAACTATGTATATTGTAATACTTCAAGAATTTATGATCCTATCCCTGTGAGTACTCCATCCCCCACACAGGTAGCTATTCCCCAGGCTTATAATTCAGTATAATGAGTTATTATGGCCTCCAAGCAACCAAAAAACAAACGAAGACCATCAGTGGTGACTATCTTTCTGGTGAAAGGCTTCCCTGAATTTAATTAAGCTGGCTCTTAGAAAGACTGTCATGCAGCCTATCAAAAATGCAGCTAGAGTGGATAAAGCACCGGCCCTGAAGTCAGGAGGACCTGAGTTCAAATCCGGCCTCAGACCAAAACACTTGACACTAGCTGTGTGACCCTGGGCAAGTCACTTAACCTCAATTGCCTAAAAAAAAAAAATGCAGCTAGAGTTTTTCAGACCTGGGCAAGCTTCATAAGAGACACCAGAGGGCAAGCAGTGATAAACTTCAAATCAACTTAAGACAAATTCAGTTGGGGTGTGTGAATGTGTGTGTGTGTGTGTGTGTGTGTGTGGGACGAACCAAAGGTTCCCAATACCTTTCCCTAGGAGCAGTGACAGGGGAACGTAATATGAAGCATGGTATTGAGGAGAGAGGGGATCAACTAGGGTCTGGCAAGAAATGCACCACCCAGTAGTTTCCTATTTTAACAAATTATTCTTTTAACTAGATATCAAGCTCAAATGTTTCCATGATGCTTTTATGAATCACAAATGCCCCCTAAATTTCAGTGCCTCAGTGGCAGAGCCCTGGTTGCACTACCCTAGTAACAGCTTTATGCCCAGTTGTAAAGAAGGTGAATTTTAGTATGTATAAAGTGGATTTTTTGTTATTCTTTCTTAGAGTTTTCTTCCCAGGATCCATAGCCATAACAATCTCTACTTCCCAGGTGTTAGTTATGAGTTCTCATGAGCATGTTTCAAAACAGTTTCTACTGCGCAGTTACAGGAGATATAGGGGTGAAGTAATGTAAAATTGTGAGGCTATTGCTGGCAATATGCTTTCTTTGTCTGTTGCCCTATAAAGCAAGTGGGCACTGGTCAGTGACTGGGGACCTCCTTAGGGGTGAATGTACAGGCTGGAATGCTGTGCTTGGAAAAGGGAATCTGTGTGTTTGCCTCAACCAGCCCCCATTGAGGTTTTTTTGTTTGTTTGTTTGTTTTTTTAGGCAACTAGGGTTAAGTGACTTGCCCAGGGTCACACAGCTAGTTAAGTGTCAAGTGTTTGGTCTGAAGCTCAATTTGAACTCAGGTCCTCCTGACTTCAGGGCTGGTGCTCTATCCACTGCACCACCTAGCTGCCCCCCCCATTGAGGTTTGAGGGGATTTAGGGGAGTGCACAAGTTGTTCTGGTCTCGATTGACCCCATTGAGATGGAGGGGTAGTTGCCCTTCCTTCATGCCAGCCCCTGTGAGAAGGGTTGTTAGGGAATGCTGTACGAGTTGGTGCTCCCATTATCAACAAACTCCTTTTAAGAAGACTAAACTAGGATAAAGTAAGCTTATTTAACCTCTTATAATGACTCCATTTCTGTCTTCCTGTCTGACCAGATCAACAGCGAACCTGTTAATGAGAGAGGTGTTAGAAGCCTCCTGAGTCTCTTTCCTAAGAAATAGCATAGTCTGTGTATTCACTTGTCCAACACCAGAACTCAAAATGTTTCCAGCTTCTGTAGTTTGTGAGAAGCCAAGGTCACCTCCAGACCACAGTGAGGTAACCGTGTAGCACTATGGAGGAGAAACAAAGCTATGTTTTACTCAAAATTACATTTGCCATGTGGTCAGGCTACAAAAGGTAGTGACCTTGGAAAACCAGTTTCATATGAATTAGATGACATGAAACAAAATCAATATTTCTTCAGAGTGCCACAACTGATCGATAAACTAATCTTTTCGTTTGTTAAACTCCATGTGTCCCTAAAGACTTCAATTCATCCCTGGGTGGAACCATCATTTTAGATTTTAAACTGCATACTAATGGTTGCTTATGTCAAAGGGTAAGGAAGGGAGAATATGTGTAATATTCACTAAGGATTTATTTTTTAAAAGCATTAAAAACAATTTACTAAGTTCTCCAGCCTGAAAATCCAGATGAATATATATCCAGTGCTGCAGTCAGCAGGTTTCATAGGAGAATTTCTGTGGATCTCTGTTCCCAAAATAGAAAGCAACCTTAAGGATATAGATCTATGGCCCATACTAGTGAGTTAGTTAAGTGCCTCTGATTATAGGCTGCTTGATAGCTCAAGAGATTTATGTAGGCCCACATCATTGAATAAAATAAAGTGTCTAGGCTCAGAGCTTAAAAGGATCTGTCACTATGTTAAATTTAAATAAAAATTTTAAATAGAAAGTCTGCACTATAATTTCAACACTCTTTGGCCTGTCAGGTGAGTATGATTTGCTTTACGTGGTGGAAAGTCTACTGTTTAGGATTATGGGCAAATTGATTTTTCATTCCTCAGTTGTGGAAGAATGAAATCAGCTGTGGTCAGTTGTGAAGAGGATTTAATTATGGGGATCTACATCCCTTACTCTTGTGTCGTGAGAAAAAATCACGGAAGCAGATCTTTCTTTGTGTAAGAAGGGCTGAGCCCAGAGTGTGAACAGTATGGCTACAGCCGTAGGTTAAATATCTGAGTGCAAGAAGACAAAAACTCTGAGCAAATGTTGTCAAGGAATTATTCTTAGGCTTCAGTTGCTCAAGTGAAAGACTTTGACTAAAAAATCCTGAGATCTGCAAGATTTGAGGGAATGGGTGAGTCAAATGTCTTGGGAGAGCCCAGAAATAAAGTGCTGCCAGAGGCTTAGAAACCCCTGTGCATGACTGAATCCAATAAGCAGATGGCTGTTTCAGAGCAGGCCTACAGGCTTCAAATACACACTTGGAGAACAATGTGAAATCTGGAACTGTCTCGACTAACAAGTTCCCTTAGTTTAAAAAGTAATAGACGCAGTTCCATTGAAGTCCTACTAATAAATCTGTGAGATTTACAGGATAGATAGTGCCCTAAGGAGGCATTGTATTTTGTACTCCTTTAGACTCAAATGGAATGGATTGGAGTATTTAGAGCTGGAAAGGACCCTAGAGATGACTTGTCTTTTGTAAACTGCCTTTTCTCTAGATGATCAAACCTTGTAAACATATTTTGGATTCACTCCAGTGGAAAAGAGATTGGACTGTCTGACTCTTTAGCACAGTGACTTTGTTGATTAAATCTGAGGAACCAAATACCCACTTAGAAACTTTGGTTTGGAGACCAAGAAGGGTCAGAAAAATTCCTAAAATACGAGAGTTTCTAGGGGAAGAAAATTTCTTGTGAATCTACTTGTCAGCCATCATGAAGGTTGAAATTAGAAAAAAATTAAGTCTTGAGAATATTGTCGGGCTGTCTCTTATGAAATTCTCAAAGACCTTTCATTAAACAAAGGGAGGGAGGAGGCTTTTTATAGCTTGTGATCTTGTGTAACCAAGGCAAGTGAAATAAAATTGAACAAAAGAGAACCAGAAGGTGAATCCCAATACTGAAGTCTCTCTAGATTAATAGTCTAAGCTTAGTAAATATCCATCTCTAAATTATATTTAATTAGAATTACCAAATAAATTGTATATAACAAATGCTTTGTATGAATAATGTTTTCCTTATGATTGCCTTTCACAGGTTAACCTTTTGAGAAAATCAAAGGAGTAGACTGAATTTGGACAATTTGGACTTTACTTTTTGGAAAATACCTGTGTTTTTTCTTTGTTGGAGAATATGCACCCTGCAAATATATTGTATCTTACTTAGAATATACATGAAAGCAGTTAAAGAACTGAATGAACTACTGAAAACATATCTAAATAATAACTATTGACCCTTAGGAAGAAGGGAATTGATATTTCTTCGGTAAACTGAGTTGTGGAAAAGCTGATGAAATACAAGGAATGATAAGAGAATTTTTATTATCTTTATTAATCACAATACAGCTGATGGTGACCTGAAGATTTCAACTTTGAAGAACCAGAGATTTAATTGATAACATTCCAAGAAAGATCCATGTTTCTGAGGTTTGCTTCTTCTCACAGTCCCATGATAACTAGCTTGTTAGTCTTCAAAAACAGTGCAAATGCCTAATTCTGTGTTTAGGCTTCTGCCGACTGATGCAATGGAATTGTTCCTACTCGGCAAATTATTTATGGACTCATCTGTTGTTTATTTGTAAATCTATTTGCATTTCTAAATCTCATCAATTTGCTTAGATTCCTTTTGGGCTTTGGGATATTTAAAAACCCAAAGATGCCTACCAAAAATAAATTTAAATTAAATGCTTTACCACTGGTATCAACTTCTGTTCTTGGCAAAATTCTGCAATGCTGAAAACTAAAGGAATAGTTTGTTAGTGTTTGCAAAAGGAAACTAAGATTATTAAAAAGCAATATGGCTTCATCAAGACCAGGTTGTGCCAGACTCATCTCACTTCTGACACATAGTAGGTGGTTAACAAATATTTTTTTAATTTAATCTCAGCCAGTCAGTAAACTTTTACTAAACACTCACTATGTGGTATGCATAATGTTAAGCCCTGAGTTACCAAAGAAAGGTAAAAGGCAGGCCCTGCTCTCAAGGAACTCACAGTCTAATAGGTGGGACAAAATACAAACAATTATGTACAAACAAGTTGTGTACAGGTTAAATTGGAAATTATCAATAGAAGACACTAGAATTAAGGGAGTTAAGGAAAGGCTTCCTGCATAAGGTGGGATTTTATCTGGGACTTGAAGGAAGTCAAGGAATCCAGGAGGTGGAGATGAAGAGAGGGAGTATTTCAAGAATGGAAGACAGCCAGTGAAAATACCTGGAGTAGGTGTCACTGGATTGAAGAATAGAGTGTATAGAGTATAAGAAGATTGGAAAGGCAGGGGTGGGGTGAGGGAGAAGGACCAGTATGAAGGGCTGTAAATGTCAAACAAAGGATTTTATATTTGATCCCAGAGCTTCAAGACTGATAGTCATGGGAATGTCAAAGACATCATAAAATTAGATTTCAACATATCATTTTACAAATTTTCTAATACGTTCCTTATGTACAGGGTAGAGAGAGATAGCTTAGATGATAGTATGGCTAGATGGATTCAAAATCATTATATGACCAGTTGGTAGCCATTGATGAGGTGATGTCCCCTTGGAAGGTATTTTCTAGTGGAGTGCTCCAAGGATCTGTCCTCGTCCCTGTGTGTGACATTTTATCAATAGCTTGGATAAAGGCACAGAAAGTGTGCTCGTCAAATTTATAGCTGATACCACAATGGGAGGGATATATAACAAACTGAATAATGATAATCAGGATCTAAAAACATCTTGAGAGGCTGTCATTGTGAGCCAAACCCAACAGCATGCAATTTTAGAGACAAAAGTACGAAATGTAGTATAGGAAAGCACAGAGAGACACCAGTTCCTGGAGAAAAGAAGAGGTGTTTTTTTTTTCCAGTGGACTGCAAGCTCAATATGAGTTGGTAGCATGGCACAGCCACCAAAACAAAACAAACAAATAAACCAAATTCTGTGCTAGGCTAGCCAGCTAGCAAGTGTCTGGGACAAAATTTGAACTCAGGTCTTCTTGAATCTAAGTTCAGTTCTTTATCCACTGTGTAGTGTTCTTTGTTTTCTGTGGAAGGCAGTATGTTACAATGGAAAGAACACTGGCTCTGGAGACAGAAACTCTGGGTTCAAAGTCTGCCTCTGACATTTACTATCTGTGTGACCTTGGGCAAATCCCTTAATATCTCTCGGCCTCAGATTTAGCATCAGCAAAATAAAGAAGTTGAACTAGCTGCCTCTGAGGTGCCTTCCAGTTCCAGATCCATGATTATAGGGCTTTCGAGGCCAAAACTGAGAATAAGGGGGTGGAAGCTGAAGAGAAGTAGATCTCAGCTTCACAGTGGGAAAACCTCGCTGACAGAAAGAACTGTTCAAAGGTTGGGCTGAGTCATAAGCTAGTGGGCTCTCCCTCCTCTCCAAACAGAGGCTGAGTCATAACTTTTTGAGGATGTGAAAAAGGAATTCTTATTCATGTAAATACTGGGATAGATGGCCTGTCAGGTTCTTTCCATCTCTGAAATTCTGTCAAACTGCTAATGAGTAAAATTAGAGTCAAAGCCAAGGTATCCTTATCGAGTGTCACAGTGAATAGAGTGCTTGACAGGGAGTCAGAAAGTTGTTGTTGAGCCATTTTTCTGTCGTGTCCAACTCTTCATGACCCCATTTGGGGTTTTCTTGGCTGAGATCCTGGAGTGGTTTGCCATTTCCTTCTCCAGTTCGTTTTAGAGATGAAGAAACTAAAGCAAACAAGGTTTTGTGACTGGCCCGGGATCACACAGATAGTAAGTGTCTGGAAACAAATTTGAACTCAGGAAGAGGAGTCTTTCTGACTCCAGGCCTAGCACTCTGTCCACTGTGCTACCTAGCTGCCGGTTAAAAAGACTTGCGTTCAAATTCAGCCACAGACACTTATTAGCTGTGTGATCCTAGGCAAGTCACTTAAACTGTCTGCCTCAGTTTCTTCATCTGTAGAATAGGGATAATAATAATAATACATATCTCCCAGGGTTGTTGTCAGGATCAAATGAGATAATATTTGCAAAAATACTTTTCAAATCTTGAAGTATGACATAAATGACATGTTGTTGTTATGATTATTACTCTATTACGATTCTAGTAAATCTCTTTCAACTACGCTCTACTTCTCCACTTTTGCTTTCTAATCACTGCTTTCTTTAAAATCCGTCTCCATCTTCCTCTGTCCTTTTCTCTCAGCCAGAACTGTTTTATAGACGATTTGCTGCAATATGTTTAAAGTTCTCGTGTTGTTGTTGTGTTTTCAAAACTGACAAATTGCTTTGAGTTTAGAGACCTGTTGTCAGAAATAATCCTTTCAGGGATTTGGCATTTGGAAAATATAGGCATCAGTTTGTGTTCTTATAAGTAGCTTTTCATCTTCAAAGCACTCTATAAATGTTTATTCTCTTCCTACATGAAATTCATATTTGGGGGGAAAATGGGTTTGCTTTAGGGGAAACATAAGTTCAAAGGGTCTCAAAGCAATTATTTACTGCCTTTGAATCCTGCTCAACCTGAATGTATGTGTTCGGCAAGCCTTTCTTTATCTTTGGTTTACACAGATAGATGACTTAGTTTTTGTCTTCCTTTCAATTCTTTCATTATATGGTACCTATGGAAATAAAAGACCCCACACACTGACTGGGTTTAGAGGTGGAGAACACAGAGAGACATACAGACAGAAGCTAGTCATTGGTTTTCCCACTGCATAGGTAAGATGTCAGGCAGAAGGAAGGAGATGGATGAATAAATAGGTTAACAAATAGTACAGTTCTATTTAAATACAGGCCAAATTTGCTTTTGTTTAGCACTGTTGCAAAGAAATGTCCCATATAACAAAGGCATGTCTATGCCACATAATAGCAATATTTTGTTGACTTATGTGGAAGCATATTTTTAAAAAAAACACCTTTTTTAGTTCAACTGAATATATTTGAAAATAATATTCCTCCAGTCTAAAACCTTTTTCATACTTTTCTCTTTAGGAAAATGTCAGTTTGAACATTTATCTCTCTAATATAGAAATGCTTGAATTTATAATAATGTTAAGTGGGAAAAGATTGTTTCTGGCAGATATGTGCCTAAAATGCAGGGTGTTTTATTTGTATTTTTTTTTCTTTTACACCTAGTTACAATGCCTCTTTACAACAAATACTTCCCCGAACTGTTGAAATGGGCTCTTACTTCCAAGCATGAATCCCAGATAGAGATTGCCCCTGTGATTTCACTGGAACTCCTTGGTGAGCAAACTCTTTCTACCCGTATAACTTGATCACTTTTTTGCAATTTATAGTGTTGGAGAATTGCCTAGACAGATCACCCAAGATTAAGATACTTTTCTAAGGTTGCACAGATTGTATATATCAGAGGCAGTAACTGAACCCTCGCTTTGAAGCCAGTAATCAGCTACACCAGATGTATCAAACATGGGCCCATTGCAGCCTACAGCACTCCTGAGTGTGGTCTGAACCAGGTGAAGATGTAATTGAGAAATGTTTCACAAAATAAATAAGAACACAATAAAACAAAGATAAATTACATTTTAAAACTAAGTCAATATAGAACTTACAGAGATCCTTATGTCTAGGTTAGTGGCCCCCATTTCTATTTAAGCTTGACTTCACTGAACTACACCATGCTGCCAGACTGATATTCCTACATTTTTTTTTACTCTTTCTTTTGTAGTTCTTCAGTCATTTCAGTTTTGTCTGACTCTTTGTGACCTTATTTGTTGTTTTTTTTTTTTTTGGCAAAGATACTGAAATGGTTTGCCATTTCCTTTTGCAGCTCATTTTTACAGATGAGGAAACTGAAGCTCCATGATGTTAAATGATTTGCCCAATGTTACACAGATGTTGTCAGATGCAAGCTTTGAACCCAGAGAGCCAGGCAGTGTTTTTTCAATTGCATCATGATATCATCGCCATCTTCAACAATATTCAGTGGCTCTCTATTGCCTCCAGGATAAAATATAAAACCCATAGCCTGATATTTCTGGTCCCTTGCAGTTGGACTCTAATCTACCTTTTAAATCTTATTTCACATTACTCCCCTTCATACACTCTCTATTCTAGTCCATCTTCCACATCTATCCATTTACACACTTGGTTTTCCATGTCTAGGATATATTCTTGCCTCACTTCTGCCTCTTGGACTCCCTAGGCTTCTTCATGTTCAGGTTCATCTCCTAACACAAGAAAGACCTTTGCTAAATCACATAGTTGCTAACTCTCTCTTCCTTTTAAATCATTATATGTTATTTTGTATATACTCATCAGCATAAATGTTGTTTCCCTCCAGTAGAATGTAAAGTCTTCATGGGCAGGGATTATTTTGTTTTTGGCATTGTATTCCTATCCTTCAGCAAAGACTTGCACATAATAAGTGTTCAATAAATGTTGGTTTAATTAATTTGAAGTATAGGCATAACCACTTTTAGGACATCTTATAAAGGGAAATCTCTCTTTAAGTATGGGTAAGACTAGATGACTTGATGAATTGAATTCAATAAGTTCTCATAGGTGTTCATAGAGGGGTAATAATTAAACCTGTGTTTTTACTTGCCTAGGGGACTCCAAGGTGAGGAACCCCTCTCTACCAATATATATTGCTACCTTCTTTTTAACTTATATGAGAGAATTGCTTAGAGCACTAGGAGGTTAAATGACTTGCCCAGGGTCATGCAGCCACTATGAGTCAGAGGCAGGAACCTGGTT